CCCCACTGTGGGTTTCTCTTAGATGCTCATGGGAAGAATGTGGAAAGCAAACTTGCTCTGAGGCTGCAGGGGAGGAAGCTGGCTTGGAGTCAGCCACTCCTGTCTCTGGAGCGCACTTTCCTTTTGCTTTGCTAAATAAAAACCCTGTGTGGCTTTAACTCCCTATCAGGTCTTACTACTGAATTCTTTCCGTTGGAGGAGACGAGAATGGAGGAATTCCACAATCCACTGCCCCGAAACAGAAGGGGCTAGTGGTTCTGACTCCAGTTCCAACGTGTGGGTATTTTCCCCACACTGAGCAATTCTCTGACACTAGCCAGGTGTCCTACAAGTCAACTCAATTCTGACACTGGATATACTGTGAGATCCCATACGTTAAGGGCTCCGTCCTACAAAACAGCCCCCACCACCTTTGAGAGTGAGTCACAAGTGCAGGTTGCTGGATTCACAAGAATCACCTTGTTTTTGAACAACTGGCTATAGTTCAGAGATTCCAACAACCCCCTCCTGAGTTCTATTAATTTGTTAGAGTGGCTCATAGAACCCAGAGACATATTCTTATTTTATTTACTAGATTACTGGTTTATTATAAAAGGCTGTAGCCATGGGGAGACACACAGGGCAAGGTGCTGGGGAGGGGTCCGGAGCTTCCGTGATCTCCCTGAGCCACTCCCCACACATCTCCACATGTTCACCCACCCGGAAGCCCTCTGCACTCTCTTTATGCATTTCTCTGGAGCTTCATTACATGAGAAAGATTGATTAAATCATTGGCCTGGTGACTGAACTCAATCTCCAGCCCCTCTCCCTTCCCTGGAGGTCAAGGGGTAGGATGGAAAGTTCCAGCCCTCTAATTGCGTGGATGGTTCTCCTGGCAACTAGCCCCACACTTAGATGCTTTCCCACTACTGTCTCATTAACAGAATAAGAGGCAACTCTTATCACAGGAAATTCCAAGAATTTTAGGAAAGAAGGCCAAATATATATTTCTTATTATAAGCCACAGTATCACAAAGGGTCTTGGAAAGATCCTCTAGAGTGAGTGGGGAGATGGTACTGACCTTCTCACACCCTCTGTACAATTAAACTGCCAACAGGAGGGAAGGAAGTGGAGGGGATGAGTCTTTTCACAAAACAAATTGATGGATCATTGAACTGTAATACCATCAGCCATTAACTTCATGTTGCAAAAAACCAAAACAACAATGCTAATCTAAGTGCTATTTGATGTTTGTAATTGGGATCAGCATTCATATGTGATCTTCCATCCATCACAGTTCTTGTATTTGATCAACCATCTGTGCTTTTCAGAATTTTAAATCACATCTTGGTAAAATATGCACACTCAAAGTAGCTTAAACATTAACCCTCTTCATTACATCTCTTATTGTGTGGCACAGCCTTTTAAGCAAACTGAAATAATGCTGTAGTAAATTGAGAACCCAGATTGTACATTCTAGTCCCTTCTACCCATGGAATTTGGGAAACAGGTCTTGCCACAATTAAGGGATGTGTGCCATTTGGTATTAATGAAATTATTATTAATTGACACAGACACATATTTGTTAGAACTGAAAACTCTTCGAAAATCCATTTAATGAAAGCTAGTTTTGAAGAGAGTGATATAATTCCTGCCTTTCTATAATGAATTACAATGATGGTAAGAGGTCCCCAACTTGTCCAGGATTTGACTCTCACTATCTAATCACATTACAAAATATACACTACCACCTCTGCCTTGATTAGAGGAAAATTAAGGAATATTTTGGAGAAGTGAAGACTAGCAAGAGCATTGTGTGTTCCTTCTCTGGCAATGAACTTTCCCAAATACTGGCTTCATTCATAAACAGTTGTTTTGAGAAAGTTTTAAAGGGGCTACATTTACTTAGGATACCAAACAATAAGACTGAAATAAATAAGAATAAATTAAAAAATGAAAAGCAAAAACTTTTAGCTACCCTTCTCAGAAAACTACTCGTGAAAGATTCTGTCAGCTGGAGCTGGAATAGAGTGAGTGCGTCACTTAACCGGTTGCTCGACGTGTTTCTCCTTTCATCCGCTTAATCTGAGAACATTGCCTGAATGGTAAGCTTCCTAGAACACAAGCAAGGTCTTGGTTGCTTGAATTTAAGCTACTCAAACCTGCTCTGAAGATAGAAGTTTCCAGGAGGGATGAACTCTTTTGCATTTGTTTTTCCTGTCGCTGAAGGATTTCTAGTAGACTGTTCATTCATTTAATTTGCTTGTGAGCTTTCTTTTTAAGTCATGGCCAAGGGCTCCCTGAGTGCTCCCAAAAGCAAGCTGCCACAGCCTGCAGTGTCCTGTGATAGCACACCGCCTCAACCGGACGCCCTTCCTGGCTGCCATCTCTGTCTGTTCTCGTCTTCCTGGAAAAGTTCTAGGTCTCAATCTAGAATTCTTTAGGGCTGACAGACTCTAACTTTTCCCCCATGGTTTTCGGGATGTCAGCTTTTCTGCACTTTTGTGTTCTGCTCCGCCCTTGTTTCAGGTGTCCCCAGGCCCACCAAAGTCCAGAACACCTCACCCCAGCTCCTGGTCCTGTCCTGGCCTGATCAGCTGGGCACCCCATGCTCAGTCCTGTCAGATTACCTGGGAGAGGGAAGGGCAATTTAAATAAGGAAAACTGAGAGAGGTTTCCAAATATTTAAACACACATACACACACACACAATCTGTATTTCTAGTTCAGACAAATGAATGAACTTGAGTATGTAAAAAAAAGAAGAGGTACAGTGTTTATTACTTTTAAATATACATAGCAATTAGGTCCAGGATAGTAAAGCATTGCCTAGCAGGAGTCCTGAGGGAATCAGATTTGATGAATATATAAGAATGGTTTCCAATTAATGCATCAATGATGTATGAATACACAGTTCTCTGTAGTGCTTACAGGTATTTGAAAGCCGTAATTACTTAACAAGGATTCAACAGGCTAATTTTTTCCCCCTCAGATAAATTTCGTGTATACCATTCCTTTACTCAGCAAATCCCTTCTTTACAATGATGAAAAGACCCTGGTGCCCAGACTTCTTTGCATTATCACAAACATCCAGTGTAGTGCAGTCTGATTTATGAGACTTTGTTTAGTCTTGAGGGAGTCTATCCCCAAGTTTACCTAAACATTTGTAGGGTCACTTCAAAAGAAACAGGATTCTCCCAAGATCTTAGAACACCATTCTCGCCCTGGTGAGCAAGCTCAAAGAGATTGAACCATGATTGTCTCAAAAACAGTAACAAGTGGCCAAAGGTGAGATTCATTTAAATTTAAAATATTACAATAAAATAAAATATTAATTTTATTTGTCTTTATATACTGCCTAAGTCTCTCAAAGTCCGACTTTGTCATTAAATTACTTTTAAAAGAAGTTTTTCTGTCCAGACTGACCTTGACTATCTTAATGTAAGAGTACTGGCATAAAGATAAGACAGCTTGACTGTTGGCCAGTCTGCAGCAGCCACATCCAGGGTCAATGGGTCAAATAAGGAGCTGGTTTGAGAGAAATCTGAATTTTTCATATGTTTGGCCTTTAAGGAGAAAAGACATATTCCTTGAGCTAAAAATGTCTTTATTTGTTGAGGGAATTTAGGAAATTTTAAAAACCCTCCTTTGTTTGACAGTTAGAAAAAGGCAGAGATTGCATCTTACTCATCTTCCCCCCAACCCCCCACCCCCCGCCAGAGTGCAGCCCCTAACACATGGCCAGGGCTTACAACATGTTTGATTGATGAATGAATGAATGAAGGCATGAATGGAATGCTCTGGTGTGAGATGGAGGTTGAGAGTGAGAAGACAGTCTTGTATCCTTGAAGCGGTCCTTCTGGGATTGTAGCAGATACCTGCTGTCTGCCAAATGTTCCATGCTCCTCTCCTGAGCGGGGATGGGTCCTTAGGGCTGACTGGCTCAAGGTGAGTGCTAGAGCCAAGATCTCTCTCCAGGAACTGGGGGTTAGAACATGCCTGCCTGTCTATCTCTGCAGGGGGCTTGAACTAAGGACTTGTAAACTGGGGTCATGCGGCCACATGTGCTGCCGTGTGCATGGAGGCAAAGCTCTGTAGGGAGAGCTGTTCAGAGGGAGGCGGGAGCCAGGAGGGCCTGGTCTGTGGAGACGCACAGAAGCTCATGGATGCTTCCATCCAGGCTGTACCTCCCACCCCCGGGCTCCTGAGAGGCACCTGTATCCTCTCTGTCCCTCATCCTCTTTTCTTAAGCCCACTTGAGTGGCTTTCTGTTACTTTTCATCAAAGCAGCTTGACAAAGAGGAGGTGTTTTGAAATTAATTTTCCCTTTCTGGCTGGAATTTTCAGAAAGCAGAATAAAAACTATGAAGCATGTCAGACACATGTGACAAAGTCTCTTCTTTCTTGGCAGGAGAACTTGTTTAAGGTCTCAATTCTAGGAATTCTCTAGCATATATTCTTCCTGATATTCCTCCCCCTCCTATAATCCTGTGAAGAGAGTAACTCTATGGCTGTTTCTGTCAATGGATGTGGACTGTGTACATACTATTTCCAAATTCAAAACAGTAATGGAGAAAGAAAACTGTCCCAAACAAGGTCTGGAATAGAAAGTTTCTGCAGACATTATTTATGACTCCTTCCTGAGCAATTTTCTGATAAACTTTAAGGAGGTTTAGAAATCCTCCTGGGAAGTTAATTTCCCTACCCACCCACTCAGATGACCATCTGCCTTTTAAGGAATCTGATGTCACTGGGCATATTTTATATTGTATCATATCAAAGTATAATTTAAACAAATATAAAAGGATGATTCTTACATAAATATAAAACAGTATGAGTCAAAGATTTATTAACTTATCAATGAGAGATCTAACTATAGAAATAAGTATAGGAAAACAATAATGGAAATATTGAATATCATCAGGGAAAGAATGCTTGATTAAGAAGGTAGTTACATACAGAACTGCTCAATGTCCTGCACACACATAAAACAGTAAGTTTGTGATTATTTTTTCTTCTAGACAAAAATCATATTCATTTTTAATGGACAGAAATCTACCTGTAACTTCAGTCAGTTGCATAACCAATGGTAAGTAAAGATTCAAACAAAGGTGAATTTCCCTGAAAATTAATAGTCCTGGAGGGGCCATTTATTAAATGAAGCTCCATTGTAAGACTGAAAGGTCATATAAGCTTCTCTCTTATTTCCAAGTTTTGGAAAATTTTTCTTAACAGCCTTTTTAAATAAATATCTCTAATAAAAGGGATATCTTTGAATTGGCTGGCTCTTCACATAAAAAATTTGAAATAAAACTGACACATGCTCTTTTCAACTTGGCTAAGAAATTGTCTTAACACTTCAATATTAAAAATTACTAGGAGGGTCATCTAAGTGCCAGAAAGCAGCTGTTCCTTTGATAGATTATTTCATTTGTTCTTGGTAGTCTGAGGCCATACCCCAAGGGCTCAAACTAATATATATGATATAAAGGCAATTTAAAGGAAGAACTCCTCATGCATTTATACCATTTTCATTTTTCATCATTAATTTTTTTCAAGCATTTAAATAATGAACTGGCTATATTCAGATAGAGGTGGAAAAAACTGTTTTGATAAAAATGTAAATCCTTTTACAGAGCTTGATTATTATTAAAATGTTGCCCCTTGGCAAAAAATAAAGGTAGCTTTATTACATGTATTTCATGCTCCCTTTTAGCACTTAACGTGGTAGCATACCCCAAGTTTACTGGTTGATTTTACTATCAGATATTGATGTCTGTACAGTTTTTGTGGCTAATACTTTCTGTTTTTGGGTAGCAAGATTTTGGTAAACCATGACCCTACAAATATGAAGTACAATGGAAAATTCCTTTCTGTTTCTTTTTTAGTGTGTACCTTTTTAGTTTAAACCTTCTGTGACACTTTTACATTTTCTCAGATGGATAAAAAAGCATTCATTCATCCTGTGTGCCTAGCTTTCTGTGTTATAGGATTTTATATTTGGTGGAGAGTCTAAGTTCTACTTTTGAAGGTATTTGTATCACTAAAAATTTGCACATAAAGGCATTTCAAAATATATCTCACTTGTGTTTGTTTTGTATCAGATTTGTTGTTGAGCAACTGCTAAATGATGAAAGGCCTTAAGAGCACAAAGGTGAGGCTTCCTGAGGATGAGGAAATTTTGCCTGTGGGCTGTGGCTTCAGCTCCTGCCTAGACATTTCCTGTGTGGTCTTCTGGACAGCCTGCTCTGCAGATTTCGGAACTCCCAGCTCTCACAATCGTGGAAGCCAGTTCTTTTGAAACAGAGCTCTTGATATATTTAATAAATGTAATTTGTGTGTGTATATGTGTGTGTGCATGCTTACATCCATATACGTATATATTCTACCGAGTCTGTTCCTCTAGTAGGACTCTGACTGCTACACCTTTGAAACTGGGAAACCAGGCTAGGAACTAGCAAACTGCTCCCCATTTCCCGAAGAAACCCCTTTGAAGGGCATAACTTTTTTGCTTCCCAATCTGAGCAGGTTATATTTACTACTTTAAATCTCTCCTTCCCTACTTCCATAATTCCTCTATTGATGAATATTTTCAAAGTTTCATAAAGCACATTACACACACATTACACACACAACAGCCTCATGCTGATGTTGTGAAGGGGACTCAAAGGATGGTGCATTATTGCATGTGTGGCTCTCAACCAGGGTGTTTTGTTGCAAGGTACAGAAATTTATAACAGCTGACTAAAGGGAAAGAAAGAAAGAATGTATATTGGGCACTCAGAATATCTGAGAAAGTTGGACAGTGCGGTTTGGAAAATAGCTAGGAGGATCCATGAACAGCAGCCGGGAACCTGTAAGACACCCTGCCTCAAACCCAGGCTGGTGAGGTCAGTGGTGCCTTCCTGACTGGCTGTGGGATGCACAGCTTAAGGGCCACCACTGTCACCACTGCTTCAGAAACTCAGTGCCAAGTTGCTCCTGCCACCCTCTGCCAGAATGTTTTTGGGTCACCATGTCCTGTTTCAAGTCCAAGTTTGGTGCAACTGATTGGTCATTCCAAGGTTGCCTGCTGATGCCCCAGGAAGAGGGGTCTGGGAGAGTATTTGGTGCCTCTGGTTTCCATAGGGGAGGACGGGCTCTGCTTTGTGGGATGGGGCTTGGATGGGGATCAGTCTAAGAGGACAAATGTCCATGGCAGTGCCTTTTGGCTCCCAGCCTCTGTGGAAGCCAGTGTGACTGGAGCAGTCTGAACTCCATGGAGCAGGATTTGGAACATGACTTCCAAATTCCATATATCGAAAACTAATCCCAGTGTGATGGTGTTAAAAGGTGGGGCCTTTGTTGGATAATTAGGTCATGAGGATGGAGCCCACACAATGGGATTAGTGACCTTAGAAGAAGAAGCCAGAGAATTTGCCAGCTGCCTTTCTGTCTGAGGACACAGCGAGAAGCGGGCACTCAAGAAGAGACCTCTCGCCAGAACCAGACCAGACTGGCACCCTGATCTCAGACTTCTAGCCTCTAGAACCATGAGAAATAAATTTGTGTTGTTTATAAGAGTGGGGAAAATTGTAATATTTCCAGAATATCTTGCCTGGCTTTAGTGCATCTGCACATCAACAGGCATTCTTCAGGGGTGGAGACATGTTTATCTCCGTATCAGTGGGTAATTACCTGGGCAACAGAGGGCTTATCTGAATCTGAGAGGTGAGGGGGAGGGCTGGTTTTGTTTCTGCTGGAGGAGGAAAGAGAGATGGCCCTGACTGCAGTTTGTAAGCAATAAACTGATTTTAAACTTTATTTGTCTCTTTGACTGATTTCGGTTTTAGAGGTATTTTGCCCCGGGATTTCCTCTTCCCTGAGTTACAATAAGCCACCCTGTTTATAGCCACTTGAACTGACTCAGAGAGTCATAACATGGCTGATTGTCACTGCTTTTAGGCATGCTGATCACATTCCAGCTGGAATAAAGTTTGAATGGGACAACTGAATCTCTTTCTTTCATGAGAAAAGCAAAAGAATTCCCAGGGGCCCTAGTAGATTGTCATTTTAAGGTTCATCAGACAGAACCATGTTAGAAAGCCACCTATAACTGCAAGGGAGCCTGGGAAATATTTACCATTCCTGCATGTGTAGGAGAGGTAGGCAAAGAAGAATGTAATTGAAATGTGGGTGGGTTAGCCAACCAACAGTGACTCCTCCCACTGCCAAGTTTTACAATTTGAATTAATATTGATTTGTTGAGCTAAGAATTCCTTCACTGTCTATTGTGGCTAGCTAGCCCACAATTTATAACAGGCATCAAAAATTTCCCCTCAAATTATGGAAGCGAAACAGTTAATCAAATTCTATCCATTGATCTATTTCTTTTGTGTGTGCATAAATTAGCAAAAGTTACTATTATATAATTTTAGTGACAAATACAATCAATTTCCTGGAATGCTGCATTGCTGACAGAGCCCTGTAAAGAAAGCATTGTGATTTTGAAAATCAGGCCTGGAGAAGGAAACATGATTTTTAAGTCTTGAAATATATTCTAAAGCTGTACAAAAACCACTTGGTTTCTAGTTTGGTATTAGTTAATAAACAGCTATGTAGCCTCTGGAAAGTCTGTCTTTGTTCTTTTTCATAAAATGATCATCTTTGTCAGATCTGAAATTTTATGATTCTATGTAAGTAGTCTGGGTGTCTTTGATTCTGTGTGGGTGGCCAATACATAAATCTCCATGTCTTCATTCCTTTGTTCTTAAAATAAAGAGCTATTTTATGTGCACTCACTGTGCGCTGGGCAACAGAGGCACCAAGGATGCACCTCTTATTGAAATAGGGGCTTTAGTTTGAGGTTTACTTTAAATTTTTTTTAGGAAGTGAAAGAAACTGAACTGTGTTAGCCCAATTCCTTGACTGTGGGTATCTTTTACAGCCACGGTCAGAGAAGGCAGAGTTGAAGGAACCTGTAGTCTCCCTCAGCTCAAGCATCATCCCTGCCACTCTGTCGTCTCACTCAGGGTCCCTGTCACGGAGCCAACTCCATCTCCAGAAGGTCAAGTTTAGAGTCTGGCTGTGGGAGGAGTGGGAAGGCTGGCTGAGATGGCTACTGGTCCAACAACTACTAACTGCTGGAATTTATCTAGAATGTTAGCCAGGAAGCCGGAAGGGGGTCCTCTGAGGGTGGTGCCCAGGGCAGGAGGCTGTGAACTGTGATGGCTGGGGAAGTTCTGGTACTCAGGCCAGACCCAAGGAAATCTGCTCTAGCTTGAGAATCCTGAATGCTCTGGAAGTGAAGAAGAATTTTTAGCAGAAAGGGAAGACCAAAGACAAAAGTGTTTAGTCCACAATTTTGCCCAAGATAGCACAGACCAACAAACTATAGGACTGTATTGACTGTATTAGCTCTAGCTTTAAAAATTTTTTTTTTATTTTGGTATCATTAATCTACAATTACATGAGCAACATTATGGTTACTAGATTCCCCCATCATCAAGTCCCCATTACAATCACTGTCCATCAGCATAGTAAGATGCTGTAGAATCACTACTTGTCTTCTCTGTGTTGTACAGCCCTCCCTAGCTTTCTTTCTGAAATCAGCCAGATGTGCTGGTATGCCACTATCCTTGGAGGTGACCTTCTTCCTCCTATCCTGTCATTTTCCTTACCCTCTGTCATTTCAGTATAGTCCAGAGGTTAGGCACCAGGCAGCCAAGTCCCCAGATATCACAAAAATCATTCCACTCTTTTGGATCATGGCCTTGGACAAGCTACCTCATCTTTCCCTGTGTCTCCTGTAACATTGGGCAATATGATAATGGCCACATTTAGAGGGTGTTTTAAGATAAAATGAGTTCATGCACAATAATCACCTAGAAAAGTATAAGCTCTCAAGTCCCCTTCTCAAATTTAACAGTATGGACCCCCTTCTTCCCAGGAGCTGCCTTCCCCGGTCAAGCTGAGTTTTCACTTCTATTAAGAGAATAACTCCTTTTTTGAGGGCCTGGTTCTAAATTCTATCAGGGTACACAATTAGCTCTGACAAAATGCTAATAGGAGAGGCAGGATGATGACACTGTGTGGTCCCCAAGAAAGAAGGAGCTGATGGAACCTGTTACTTTGAGTCCCAAGTCAGCGTTTTCTTTAGGCTAACAGGTAGGCATCGTGTGGCAAAGATGCCCTTTGTAAGGCAGAGTTACACAAATTGACTACAAATTTTTCAGAAAGTTAAAATGTCATTTTTTTCCTGCTCAATTTTGCTGTAAACCTAAAATTTCTCTAAAAAATCATTTACTAGTAAAAAAAAAGAAACAGAAAAAAGGAGTCATGTACAATTTTCTTAGTTACTGCAATCGTTAGAGCTTGTGCAACTTAAGAATTTTTTTTCCTGTAAGAATTTGGACAACTGTTTGAATTATGGATATTTAGTAGCCTTCCTGAGCAGATGGAATCCTCTCCTCCCACAGAGATTTGGGGCTGTTTTCCTAGAGTTTATAGTCTAGTTGACTTGCACTGTTTAGTGCAGTAACCAGCCACATTGGCTATAGAGCATTTGAAATTGTGGCCAATTGGAATTGATATGTAATGTTAGTGTAAAATACACATAGCATTTCGAAGACTAAGTACAATAAAAATAATGTAAATTATCTCATGGATAATTTTTATATTGATAGTATACTGAAAGAACATTTTGGATGTATTGGGTTAAGCAAAACCTATCATTGAAATTAATTTTACCAGTTTCTTTTTAACTTTTAAAATGTGGCTCCTAGAAAATATAAGCTTATACATGTGGCACCCATTATATTTCTAATGCGTAATGCTAGTCCCAATGAGAGAGTTTGCAGATATGAAATAGGTATTTACAGTCTTCTTTGGAAAGTCCTTTAAGTTAAGCAAAGTTTCTGGGAACTTCACATGTGTCAAGCAGGTATTGTTCTGCCAGGTAAGCACAATTTAGGGAATTCTCTTTGTCCCCTTCAGGTTAAAACTCAAGGTTGAAAATTTCCGTTGAGTTCTCAGCTGAAGAATGAGCTGTGAAGGTACCGGACGAGGAAGCCCTGAGAGAAACCTAAGTCTGCGTCAAGACTGGGAACATGTGCGAGTTAAGAGTTGAAACAGCCTAAATTTCATTTTGAGTGTTTTCTCGTGAAGCTAGAAACGTAAAATTTCGCAAACAAATTCCAAAGAAGCGGACACGGCTGTTAGAAGTACCATTCAGCTGAGACCGCCCGAACTCCTGGGGGCAGAGCCCAGCACGGGCGGCCGGGGCTCGGCCTCGGGGCTGCGGGGCCAGCCGCGGACGGGCCAGCTGAGGGCCGGGGGCGCTCGCGCGCGCGGAGCAAG